ACTTCTGTTGTGCCGTGCTTTATGCTAGATTACTCTTGGTGTGCTCAAATCATAATTATGGACAGTGGCAATACCAGAATTTTAGATGACTAAAAAGGCAATAAAAATCATTTGAGGTAGTGAACATTAAGAAACATTGATGTTTTTATGTACTAAAAGGCTGATTTTTAAAGAGTTGATTTTTATTTCAAGCAGTGGAGTTTTTGTGTAACCTCTGCAATATATTAATGGGAAAAATGTGTGATTTGTCCTAAAGTCTTAAGATATTTCATGTACATTTGTATTTTTTTCTTGTTTTCTCAGTTTAATATTTATTAGTACAGTCCTTATAATTAATCTTAAATGTGAACTGTAGGAAGTATTTATGCAAAAGAGACAACTGTTTCCAAGAAATGTTCTGACTAGTTTAAAGAAACAAAATCTGTCAGACACAGTTGCTCATTACATGATTAGTCTTTTACACGCAGAAACATGGCTGAGTGTAGCCTTTCATCTTGAGAGCTGCTGTTCTGAGTGACAGTAATGTCTAAATGCAAAGAAAAGCACAGTGAAGGAGGCTCTTTTCTTATGGTTCTTGGTTTGTGACAATTTGATGCCTCGATTTTCCAACAGAAATCTGCAACTGTGAATCTTGATTTAAAAAATTGCCCTTTCTTTTGCTTAGTTTGTGGTTTTGACAGTTGCAATAATTAAAATAAGTATTGGCCTAGTCTTCAAAAACTCTCAAGCATGCTTTGAAGGCCTATGAAAATATACCCTCCCCATGTGTACTTATTTCTGTTAACAGAATCCCTTACTCAGGTTATTTCAGCTATGTTTTTGATGGTTTTGTGTCTGAGTTACATTACGTTACTGGAAGGGAAAATAAATCCAAAACAATTAGCCAAACAAAGAAAACTGTGTAAAGATGGTACTGTTTTATTTCTTCAAACAGGATGAAAATATTACGGTCTTAAGGCCTTTCTTCCACAGTGAGCCAGATCTGTGCCTTAGACTGTTAAGTGACTTTCGAGAAGGCAAGGAACAATACAGATTCTTTTAAAACACCTTACTGTTTCTCTGAAAATCACCAACACTTTGAGACTTAGGATTTGTCTTTTTTGTGACAGACTTCTGAAGCAATGCTTTCCAACACGTCATCTGTTTTAAGTACAGTGTTCAAAGCTCTGTTGCTATATGGCGGCCCTTTTGACATTTTTGTCTTATTTGGTTACACTTAATTTTGCAGTCTTTTTTTTAACTTTAAAGCATCTTTAAATTTCTCAGTTGTCCATCATTGTGTTGGGTGGCTTGTTCCAGATTGTCTTCTGGGTTTTATTGTGGCAATTGTGTGCTTCTTTATGAAGCCCTCAGACGTTCACTGTGCATTAGACTGCAGAGTTGCAGTTTTTGGCTTCCTCCATGTTGACAAGCTTGTTAAAATTGATTTAACAGTTTTAGGTTTTTTATTTATTTAAGCACATAATCGGTTTTAATTTGCTGTTTAATATGAAATGTATTGGAAATAATTGTCATTGGAATAAAGGCATATATGTTTTAATAATAAAAAAGGCTGGTGTTGGGTAATTTATTAAGCCTGTGGGACCAGATCAAGTAAAAAGTCAGACAACCAAATTAATTGAAAGCCATAAGTCTAAGATTTATATAAGATTAGTCTTCAGCAATCTCCATCATAAATGGTTGGAGTTGTGATTTTTCACAGTTATCTACTACCTTTTATTTTTTTCTTTCCACACTAAAAGCGAATAGCTCTGGTTTGAAGAGAAGAGAAAAGCAGACATCCCAACAGACCAGGGAAGCCCTGGGCACTCCAAGGCTGCTGCAGGGCACCAATAGCGAAACCTGAAGTGTTAAATCCTCCGGTGTGATGAATAGTTGTAACAAAACAGAATGTAAGAAAAGCGATGTGTGTAAATTACAGTTGTAGGCAGGGCTGTTCTGAGGTCCTAAAACAGCAGCACTTTCCCCTTCAAATGCAGTTCATATCTGCCAAATGTCCAGACCTGTTCACTTACATGCAGGAAATGTATATGATTTGGCAACATTGCTGTAGTTTTTTTATATCAAATTTCTATGCATTTCCATGATTTCAGTCCTTTTCATCTGACCATTTAAGCTCATCTTAAAGTTTGTTAAAACTGAGTATCTTTCTAAACTGATGCTTTTTGCTTGGTATGAGATGCTTATATATTGCAGACAACATCACACGTAAAAATTTAAAATGTTTGCTATCAGGTTCTTGTCAGTGTTAGCATTAAGGTAAAATAAAAAGACCCAAGTTTGTATAAGACCTTTCTCAGTACTGCATGCAAAGATTTAGCTTTTGCTATTTGTACTACCACTGACTCATACAGAACACCATTTGTGAGCTTTCAACTCATGCAGTCATTATAGTTAAACATTTACATGCTCAAATCTAAGAAAAAAACAGATGAAAATGGCCTGAACCTAATATGGACTGTGATTCACTACAGTGTAAGAACACAACCAGCCAGTGCCCTGTATTAAAAAGGTTGAGTTGCCAGTTAGGTAGAATTACATTTCATATTTCTGCAAAAGAAGGCATAGTATTTAAAATTTGGGACCTGCTGTATCACTGGTGGATTAAGTTTGGTGCACAATAGGTGTGCCTCGGCTTAACAGTTGGTCCTTTAGTTTGGTATAGATACACACATAAATGTTTTATTCAGTTACTGTTGTTTATCTCTTCCCTAAATTGATTTGTGTACCCCAAGAATCAACTCCAGGTTGCTTATGCCAAAAAGAATTGCTTGCTATATTCTTAGAACTTTTGTAACTGAATCGATTTTTATGTAAAATCCTGCAAACACAACTTCAGTATTGGAAAATATTTAATTACTCCTTGTATCCCAAATATCAGCTATTGTCTGCAACAATACGGCCGAGTAGCTTGTTCTGCACTCCTTCAATCCACTATCTATAAAAGGTGATAAACTTGGAATACAGGTTTCCATAGACTTATGTGTTGGCTTCATTAGCTAAGTAGGAAGCTTCTCATATTATCTGGATAAAAAGAGTTTATGAAAAGACATTCCGTGTCCTGCAAGTCAATGGGAATTCATTCATGGGTTTTCTCTTGGATTGTCTTAAAAGCAGGTGAAAAGAATCTTCAGTTTTTCCATTTTAATGTGCATTGTTTGTTCTGATGTGAGAAATCTCTAGCAGCAGTGACTAGCAAAGTGAAACTCTCTGGAGATGTAGCTGAGCTGCCGCTCCCTTTTTACGTTTAAGCTTTGAAACATTTTTTTAAAATTCTCTGCTAGTGCTTCTCATTTGCACCCGATTTACTAGACTGCATGCGTGCTTTCAGCATGGTGTTTAGTGCACACTTAGTTTTGAGAAACATTTATGGATTTAATTTAGTTTAGCAGTTACTATTGCTTACTTGTGGAGACTGAGGCAATGTGAGTCTGAAAGTTTAGACACCTCGCTTACTGTTATGTAGTGTATAATCACTCCAGTGGGAATACAAAAAACATTTACAGCCTTTCATATTAGGAGTTTTCCAAACTATTTATATTCCTTTCACAAGTGTAAAATGATATGTTAAAAATATTAGTTTTATATTATAATTTTGGGACAATCGATCTTGGTGCACCATACCATGGAATTCATTAAGGCATTCTGTAACTGTCAGCTTGAGTCCAAGTACCCAAAAATTTTTGAACGTTCTCAAAGTGTAAAAATACTCCTCAGTCAATTTTCTTTGAGTAGACTTTGAGTAGGTATGGTATTAGTCTATTAAAAAAGCAGCAAAATAAACCTGGTACGGAAGTTCGCCGTAGCACAAGAATGTGTTTTGCAGTGCGGAGATTTTCTTGGTAAGGCTACACCCCAGTTTCAGTTCCATTAAGCCAGAGTACTCACGATTCTGGATCAGTCAGATTGTCTGGATTCCTGCTGTGAAACCAGGGAGTTGGATCTGTGTGCAGACACGCTATAAGATTCAAATGGCCTTAATCCTTCTAGCTCTGTTTAACTGTGGTAGTAGTGTTCTCACCATTTTGAAACCCTAGTAAAATGTCTTTGTTGATTTTTCAACCAATCTTCTACCAGCTGAAATGTACTGGTGGCACTCTTTAAATTCTCATTGAATTTTTATTTTTTACACCTTCACAGTATACATTGTGTTCATTTGCTCATCAGCCGTTGCAAGCTTCTACCAAAATAAATATCATGAATGTATCACAAATTTTTCAGTAACGTAAGGTACATTGCTATGATTATATAGTTAAAATAAGGAGGATGTGCTATTTATTCATTTGTGAAAGGAAATGTTATTTTACGGTTTGCTTTCTGCAACAGGCCTACAGAATGTCTGCAGTTTACAGGATGTCTTTCCATCTGATGCTACAGGAAGTACCTTTAAGAAAAATGTCATCATAACAAAGTTGTTTTATTTTACAGCTTACATGTTGCACAGAGGTTATCTCAGTAGCTTGACTTAAGTCTTTTTTAAATAGGAAGTCCTGAGGCTTTAGTTTGCCTTGTTTAACCAGCATTTAAAATTGTAGAAATGTTGCAATTACTACAAGGAATGTAGTTGTGTAGCCTAGTTGGAGTCCTTTATAAACTTGCCTTAAATTTAGATGAGCCCATGCTTTGAGAGATGATACAGGCTGCACATATGAGAATCCACTTTTGATGGTGCGATACTGTAATTGTTTAAGAATTAAACTTTTTTTGTTTTTCCAATAATGTAACAAGCTTTTAAAAATGGAGATGAGTATACAGCAGGATGTTCAAGCAACAAGCAAAACACAGGGCTGTCTATGCATCAAGAATAGTTTCTCCAGTGCTATTTTTTAAGATACTCTTCAGGTAGCCATTTTCCTGGCAGCCTTCAAGATGAAAATGGATATGGTTGTTAATTGAACCTGAGATTGAAATTAGACTCTGGGTGACATATCAAGTTAGGTATGTGAAACTTCAGTTTACTGTTAACTAATCCTGACATTCTACCTTTTTTTATTTTTCAGGATTTTCTTAACCTCATTGCACCAGATATTTGTCGGATTTAAAACGAACTCCACTGAAGACAACCATGGAATCGGTAACTGCCTTTTTTCTTGTTTTTTTCTTGTTGGAGAACTGTGCTTTTGTTTAATGTTGAAATGTTAGAAAGCTTGCTAAAGGCTAGGCATTGGTTTCCTTCTGATATTTCAGAATGCTTTTGTAATAACAGATTTTCTAGGTTCTTGCATTTTGGAAAATTATTTCTGGACAAGGCTGTTGGCATTCAGGAAGAATGTAGAATCTTGCATAATTATTTTGACATCAGACTTCTCCTGCATGTTGTCATCATTTAATTTATCATTAAGTTTTTAGGGGAAATGGGTTTGTCATTCAATTGTTCCTTTTATAAGACATAGATATGTAGCGACTGTGTGTAATTGGTTAAGTGTTGTGCTTTTTCTTTGGTTAATGAGGACTATTATTTTTTTAATCTCTTGCAGAAATATTTACAGGTGTTGCAGACATTTTGTCCACTGTTTTTGTGTATAAACTTGAGTGGTGTTCACGGTTCTCTTTTAGCTTAGTTGATGTGTGGCCTGCAGTTTGTAATATTGCTAATAGAATTGGTATGAAAGGGCAGGAATTCAGGTTTGTATGATTAGATTTGCTTGATGAGTCAGGTTTGGTTAGGGAATTGAGCCAAGTGCATCCACCCAACATTAATGTTGAGTTATGTAAGCGGCCTTAAAACTGTTTATTTGTGTTGAGTTTGGTCAAAGAAATTAGGGTGTTAAAAGCAATTGCTATGATTTAATTGCTTATTCCGAGGCAAGGTTGTGAGAAGATAGAGAGACAAAATTCGTCTTAAAACTTGTCTTCTCTTCAGTTCAGTTTTCTGGTGTCATTTGAAGCTGATTATAGCTTGTTCTGTGTATAAGGTGGAAAAACCCAAGACTTTGTCTTTCGCTTATGTTTTTAAGGCTTTTTTTGTCCGTGAGGTGAGATATGAGCTCTGCAGTTGGAGTGGAAATGCGTACGCTGTGTGTTTATTTAATCCAAAGCTGCAATGCAGACTCTTACTGTGCTGGTGCAAACAGGCTGTCTGAAATCCTTTACGTTTGTCTAGTATGCATGTATTAAAAATAAAGCTTGGCATCCGTCCAGACTGTTCTCTCCTCCTTTTGTAAAGGGCTGATTTGTGTGAAGAGGATGGTGTGCACTCTACTGTGTTTTCGCACAGAGTCTGGGAAAGTGGGTCAGAGCTCCATCTCCCCTCCCAGGGTGCTTAATTAGAAATGAATTGTCACTTGCCGGAGCACAGCTCATGTGATTCTTCCTTCCTTGATCAGTAAGCATAGTTAGTAAACAGCTGAAGCGGGAGGAGGTTTTTATGGATGCTTATATGAAGTTTTCTATTTATGTATTCTTAAACTTTTCACAACTGAGTGTTTTCAATAAATATAGAACTGCTGATTATAAACAGCAATGGAAGCAGTTTGACTTTTTTTTACCCAGCTCTGTTCTGCTCTATTTACAGCTGAAGCTGGTGTTTTTTTAAAAAAAAACTCAGATTTTTCTCGTGATGAGAGGAACCATGTGATCCACTGCTTAGAAAACGTGGGTATCTTACTACACAGAAGCTGAGTCTAGAAGTTAATGAAAGCAATCTTGAGTATGTTTACAAATTATCCACCATATACTGTTTTTTTTTTTATTTACAGCACTATTATATATTATTTCTCAATATTTCACTTATTGCAGACCTTAGGTTGGACGTGAAAGTACTTTGCTGTCATCTTTTTCGCAATCATGTTTCAGTTTTACTTGCTAGAAATGGCTTTTTTGAAATGCGTTCTATCCATCACTGGATTCAGTCTGAAACCTTACCAGGAACTCTCTGCCAGTCATTACATAACTTGCATAGCAAAGTTGAGACAACTGTAGGGGCTTTGTTCACTAATTCTCTGCTCTCCTCTTTGCTGTGAATTTGTAAATCCTTGATTGAAAGAGCCTATGTGTTGAAAACATTGTCAAAAGTGTAGCAGACAATTTTTGCCTGTCCCTGATTATTTTAATTTAAAAAAACAAAAATAATTGTCCTTTCTGTGTGACAGAAAAAAGAACTGGTAGAAACCTGATCGCCTTGTTCATGTTTGAGATGGTTATTAACCAAGTGCTCTGCCTTAGTTCATTTGCCTTGGTTTTTTGAAGTTTTGTATTTTTCATTTCACACAGCTTTTAGGTTTTTAATAGTGGCGATGATTTATTCCATTCTTCTTGACAGTCTCTGTGATAACAATACTGCGGTAGACCTGTCCCTGTGTACTTGCAGTTGCCCCTCTGCTGCATGCTTGGAATTGCTCCTGTCATACCACCATCATTACAGCAGCTGAGTGGTACCTGCATCCAACAGGATCAACTAAAATGTCTGCACATCATGGATTCATTACTGCATACTTCGGAACAATTTTGTTTATGTGAAGCATTAAGAAATGCAGAACATGATTGAGTCATTTTGTTTGAATGAGTTCAGGCCATAGTTTAGTAATGGATTTTTCTGTTTGCAGCCCACCCGATCTTATCTTTTTTGCCTCACTGTGATCAAGTACATAAAAGAGCGGCAAGATATTTGGCCATTGCAGCACAGGTCATTTTGCTTTGAAAGATCAGTCATTTTGATTGGCTGTTGTCAAGCAGTGCGTATGGAATTGAAGTAATATCCTAGAATCCACACTCGTGGGAGTGACTTTTGAACAAAATCATTGGCTGTATGCTTTTTGTCATAGTTTTACATTAAGCATACGTTTCTGCTGTTTAAAGCAGCCAAGCGCTATTCTCTAATTGAGCTTATGTAGTGTTAGCCTTGTGCTGATGCTGATGATGAAACCTCACCTTATACTTGTACCCTTGCATCATATCAGAAGATCAATGCATTCCAGCGAAGAGAGATGGTTCAGGTTGTTTCGAGTGTTTGTGATTGGATGATCATTATATCAAATAGAAGGCAGAGCTAAATTGAAACTGGGCACTAATGCATTGACTTGTCTGTGCCCATTCCATTTTGATGTAAAGGTAATTTAGACTAAGAATGGTTTTACTGCTTTACAAAGCAGAGTCTGCGTTAATAGGTAGTGTTCTACACATTGCCTACGCAATCTGTTGCCAGGAAACATGAAAGGCGTTTACATTATTTTCATTGAGCAGTGTAAGAGGGAGTGTTTTGAAACTGAAGTTCAGCCATCAAGGTTCTCAGTTCATGGTCCATTCAGGAACAACTAGATAGAGTTTCAGTAGAAGGTCAGATACTTGGCTGTCATGAAGGGCAGAAAAATAGAGCATATCTACCATTGAGCTTGTGCGTTGTGTGAGGCATGAGGACGTGCCAAGCTGTGGAAAGGATTTATTCCTTGTCAAAATAAGCTTTATAAAAATTAATTTGGCTTGAAATCCATTTGTAGTTTTTTCGTGCAAATTTGTTCTTGAAAATCTTTCTCAAATTTTTTTGCAGTTTTGCATGCCTCACTGTCATTTTGTTCTTACCACCCACGACTAGTGGTAGATAGCTAATTTGGATGTCCTTCTGTCACTTTTTCTGAAATGTTTGTATCATCACTCAGTTAAATATGTATAAAAATTAAACAGTTATTTAAAATACAGGAATTGTATGAACATCTGTGTCTTGGATAACATGACAATGTAACGATGCTCTAAAATATGTAGGTTGGGTTTTAGAAGGTTTTTCTGTACTATATTTTGCTTTATGCTTTAGGCCTTTTTGGTGTTTGCACTTGAAGAGAGAAGTTTGGGAAGTGCTCACTTCAGTCATGTGGTTCCCATTTTATGCTCGAGCAGCTCTGCATTATTGTCTTGGGACAAATTTAGAAGTTGCATGTCTTTTGATTTTAACAGCATTGTTGAAAGCCTGCATGTTTGTGTTGGTTGTCTTCACGTGAGACAAGGGTATCGCCTATAAAGTCACTGCAGCACTGCGTTTGGGCATATTACCTTCTGCAGGGCCCCAGAGAGCCAGGTGCTCGCATGTGACATGGGCGTACTTTGTAAGAAAAGGAAACCGAGGCTTAAGTCTTGCAGACTGCTGAGCTTCTTAGCTGTTCTGTCACTGTAAACATGGGTAACAGGAGGCAAGTGCTGCTGCGAGCTTTCTTGGACCTGCACAGAATGGCAATTTCCACTGACCCCTAAGCGACAGCTGCCTGGGCTCTCCCCCTCCCCTCCTTCTTAAGCATGTTCATCAGGAGGAGTCGCACAGGGGTCAAGGCTCTGATGTGGCAGTGGGATTGAAATCGCTTTTGATGGCTGTTTTAGCTCAGCAGTGGTGCAGAGTTTGTAAATGAAGGTGTAGGTGTGAGATTAAAAAGGATAAATAACAGAGCACACGGCTAAAAGGAATAGTTTGTTGAGCTTTTCTGACTTTCTGATCTACCATGAGGTATAAAATTGTAATATATAAATGTACAAAGGAGAGCTTTAGATCGGAAGAACAGTATTCTATATAGATCCTGGGAACATGGAGCAGGGGAATGATTTTGAAGAATTTAAAGCATTAATTGTGAGCAAATGGTCAGTTTTGTGGCATTTATGTCTTCATTTAGCTAATGGACTGTTCAACCATTTCAACATGACCTAATATAGACTGTGTATTTGCCTGACCCAAGTTCCTTAGAGTCTTTATTTCCTTTCTGAACTGTCTGTAGACAGTTGTAGAAGTGAATGGGTTGTCTACATGTTTAAGGTTCTGAGTATTTCAAAAAGTATTTTTATATTTTAAGAGTTCAGATTTTAAATATTCAGTTTCTTTAGCTGCAACCAAGTTTTAATTTCTGTAAGTGTTGGCATTCAAGTACATTCTGTTCCTGTGTTTCAGTTATGAACTTAAGACTGGAAATCTGTTCATTTTTATTTCCTCTCCCCCTTTTGTTTTGCCCTTGTAAATTTGAAATGCTTGATGTATATGCTTACTGAATCTGTTGTTGGCTTGAGTAGATCTAGAGTTTTTTTTTTAAAAACTTCTAATACAGTTAAAAAATGTGACTCCTTTAAAAGCAAAAGATCACTTTGCAGTTGTGTTTTTAGAAA